AAAATATTTTGTCAGATTCTCCAGACATACTGAAATGCTTAAAATTATTTAATTAAAAAATAACATAAAAAAGGGTGAAAAAACTGCATCTTTAATCTGTCCTCTAAACTTTGAATTCCGATGTGGAAGAAAGTAACTTCCGGTTTGTCTTTTGTCAGACAAACTGCTACATCTTCACTTCTAATCAACATATAAAGAAAAGATAAGGCGTTTTTGATAGCTAACAAAGTGGCCTTTAAAAAAGTTAAATTTAAAAACAAATGAGAGTTTTAGCCGAAATCGGCCTTATGAAAGAAGTCGGGGGTAGGCATGTGCTGCCCCATCAAATTGTTGAAATTTTATGTGATGAAATGGGATCAGAGTATCAATCGTTGTTTTTCCGTTATGAAGTTCTTTGGCTTTCGAGAGAGAGAGTTCTGATGATTATTCGTGAGTTGAAATAAGAATTAAAAACAAGTTTAGAGGTAACCTTCAATAAAAAAATGCAAAATAAATATAAAATGTTTATTTTAAACCTTCTTTTGAGTTTGTTATTTCACTAGAAAACTAAGGCGAGGTGATAAGTAACTTGACTATCAACACGAAGCCAGAAGAAACATTAGTACATTTTACTTCTATACAGAGTAAGCTTAGATTTTTTAAAGAGCAAAATTACTGAGCAAAATTACTTTTTAAAACTTCTTCTTACTTATTTTCCTCATGGCAATAAGTGTACAATATAAAAAGAAAGAAATGTTTGAGCTCAAACAGGAATTGTATATAAAAATAAATAAAAGAGTCAGTAGACCTCGCCTGAACACAAGGATGTCTCGTGAGCATAAGATGAAAATTATAATTATTTAACTTCCGAATACGTTTTTAATAATTGTTAAAATAGCTGTTATTAAAATAATTAAATTGTTGGCCATGTTAGAAACGCAGGCTCGAGAGCCACGTATTGCTCTCGCACGTAAAATGTATAGAACTGGATTTTAAGAAAAATAGATAAGTTTTTCTCTTGTTGTGGACTGTATGTAGCCATTTTTTTTAGCGTTCAATAAAATATTTATGCTGTGTTCCTTTAAACCTGATGTTACAACCCAGGGCTTGCATAGCGGTTTCGGCCAAAACTCCACAAATCGTATAAAATCAAGAGGTGTAAACTACTCGAATAATTTAATTTCCGAAGACCACAATTGTAAGTAAAAACATTGTAAAGATCTAATTGTTCAGAAGTGTAAATCAATGTCCCTCAGACTCTACTAGACTAAAAAGCAAATTATGGCTGCATCTGACTTCATATCACATAAAATAATCTTTTTACAAAATGGGTTTCTTAGATTGGTTCAAATATTTTACGGCGCGTTATTAACGACGGCTAGCGAAAGGGCTGAAGTCAGAATAGTCTCTAGTAGAGCTGACAATGGGACGTAACCTACTCACGAAGCGGCGCAACAGCGGCCGAGCGGTAAAGTCGCTGAACACTGGTAGTTCGGTCCGAGGTTCGAATCCCGCGAACGGGCTCTCAATATGGGCGTTTTCGTGTTTTTACCCATGTGTAACGTGTATACGAGCCAGTTTCCCTTAGAAAGTCCACCACGAAGGCATCCCTCCCCTTAGGCAGATAGCCCTCGAGGCTTTGCCATAATCACACACACACCTACTGACAAAGCTGCCAAAAGCTATAGTGCGTTCAGAACCCTCGACTTTAAAAACCGAATTTAGTGAGAACTAGGAAAAGAAGAAGTTATAGTAACAGTAATAGTAACAGTTATAGTAACAGTAATCCCAATAATTGGTAAATTAACATAAAATACCTTATAACATAATAAATGAAAAATATTTACACATAAATTAACTATGACAATATTATTTATTTAAAAGAAACCTATAAGTAGTTGCGTAGGAATATGTAATAAGATATTTACATTTCTACGACTCCGTATCTTGAATCGCGTCAACTATTACCGTTGCTCACTCCCTAGGCCTCAAATCATTCAGTGCTGCTGGAACTGTGTCGTCTGCTACAGCTTGCAAGTCCTTGCCAACATCACTGTAGTTGTCTTCCTCAAAATTCAATCAGTCTTTTCCAGAGCAGTAATTTTTCAGAACCATTAAAAGCGTTATATACCTATCGTGTTCTTGAAGCGCTATTTGTAGTAATTTCTTCATCCTGCAAAGCTTATGCTTCGAAAATCCAGTAGCTAATAATTAAACGAAAGCAAGCAGTATGTGGAAAAATTAATTTTTAAAACTTGAGGAGCTAGCGTTTTGAGTATCTTGCGGAAGATGTAAATTAAATGAATTAAAAAAATCAATACCTTGCGCTTAAAACTAGTGCAAAAAATACGCGAGAGGGGGAAGGTATGCAAGTAATCTCTGTAAATATGTTTCATAATGTGTTAGTACTCCAGTTTACGCGAACTCGAAATTCTGTGGCTTCTTGGTTTCCTTATTTTATTGTATGCATTTATATAATTAAATTTCGGTTACTATTCGGTTTCGAGGGCTGTAAAAAATCGCCAAAATATTGTTGATGCCAATGCTGCCAAAAATAATTGCGGCAACCCTAATAATTGTGGCAATAAAGGAAGTATAATAGTGAATAACTATCTAAGATGGATGTTTTAATTTAGATGAAAGGTTAATTTCATATAATACTTTTTTATTATTAATTATATGAAAAAGGCAAACATGACTGAATGGAAAAGCATAAGAGTAAATAACTATTTCAGATCATTATTATAATTTATAAAAATTGCTAAACATAACTGAATGGACCCTGCATCACTATTTCGCTACCGACTTATCGCTAAAGCAATAATTTCATCTCGTTGGTTGTTCAAACGTAATTTCTATAATGAATGATGCCTTTTCCTTTGAAAATATTTCTCGGTAAAGTGCAGAATCGCTCACTTATTTGTTCGCCGCTTTTTACAAGGATAAAAACAATTAGATTTTTGTCAATTTTGTTTGACTTTTTAAGTGAAAATAGGTCGATGTGTACTAGATAAAGCCAAGGGTGTGCGCAGTGCCATTTGTGTGCAGTTCTAGGATTTTTTTTAATGAAAATAGGTCGATGTGCACATGGATACCGAGTATGTGCAATTCTTAAAAACGCGTCAAGCAGTGGGTGATTCCGCACTTTACCCAAAATTCTATTGCCGACTTTTTCGTCATGGGCAATTCCCAAATTGGTTAAAATCCATAGGATATCAAAAAAGGATTTAAAATCAAAAAAGGATTTAGAAATTAAACTAGTATGTCAATGGCGTCTTAAGAAATGTAGAACTATATAAACTTACGCAATCTGAAATCAGCGCGTACGCTAGATTTGGCACGCTGTTAAATGGGCGCGTTTGCTAGATTTGGCGCTTTTGCGCATACATTTTCGCTGCAATTTTTTTACGGCCCTCAAAACCGAATAATACCAATTTTCGTTTAGAGTTAAGTAATTTGAAAATTTCTAATGAACAAAACATCACTCTGTCAACATATTAGAGCTAACTTTACATAAATACAAAAAGTTCCAGCAGCACTGAATGATTTTAGATCTAGATAGGGCAACAATATGCATCAGAACATAAACCGTTTATGTTAAAGGCTCAAAAATGCCACATCCTTCTCCTAAAACTGAACTTAAGTGATAATTATTTTCGCAGACAATGCAACTGTTTCATGTTTATATACACGGTACAGTCATGATTTTATTCTTTGGTACAGCAGAAGTGAAGAACTGAGTTTGATATTCTTTTCCTACCGTTTTATAACTACGAATTGGGTCTTTTGACGACTTTGCCAAATTTAATGAACCTTCGGTATCGAAATAAGACATTTATTTCATATTCTTTTGCAAAAATATATTATGAAACTACGTTAATTACTACATACGCCTTTTTTTGTTTCTAAGCAAATGTATTTTTAGTCCTCTTTAACTAAAATTCATATGCAAAATATACACTTGAAGTCCGCGAATCCGACTTAAGTGCTTTGCTCGGTCCCCTATCGCGTAAATCGGGAGTATTCACCATACATTGCTAGGTATTCTTCAAAGTTGTATTATTTACTGGGATTTGTCTGTTTCAGTAACATCAGAAATATGAGCCGGCATCATTCATAAATAAATGCTTGATCATTTTCTCTGCATAAGGGGTAGGACATAATACTTTCATGTTGGTGTGAATAATTTGATGTATAACAAGGCAAATTCTTCCAAGTCGTCTGTTCGATGAATAAGAAGCGTTGTTCATGAAGCACGTGAGATTCCTTCATTAATCATCAGTGTGCTCATCCTTTCTGTTACTGACACAAACGATATTTCTTTTCGAATTTTGTTACTCAGAATCCAGATCATTGTCAGATGGTAGGATTCATTATATCCTTATATCACTTTCAATGTACTGCCTTACTATAATAAGAGTATTCTTTGTTCACGGAGGCTGCAGAACCTTCAGAAATCATTGTGTGAGGACTTACCGCAGTTATTTTATATTTATTCTTTACACAACAGTTTCTCTGATTACAGATATCTTATAAGTAGTTCTATATCCTGACACTCTCTAATGCTATCTTCTGCTTTTTTTAACCACATTGTTTAGAAACAAAGCCTCATAATTTTATTTTCGTTGATTTTTCCATGGAATGCCTAGAATGTGTCTTAGGTTTACATATGGCATTAGACTATGTATGCACGTGCTGAAACCGAGCTCTCGGTCCGTAGAGCTCAAACACTATTTTGAAAGCTGTAGTGAACGGCTTTGATGCAGCCATATTAGTGCGTTCGCAGGAGTGAGAAATATGAGATTCGATTAGGAAAGAAATGAAAATTATGCCCAAATAAATGTGCCTTTTCTAGATGTCTTCAGGCACAGTTTGATATTTCAATTTATTTATTTTATATAATTTTTAAATATTTACAAACTTAGAGGACATCTTTTACGCGTTGTTTATAAATTGTACATATATATTTATGTTTTATTATTTTATTTTATATTTAATTTAATGTTACTTCTCTTTTCTAGTTCCTGCTGACGAATTCGAGCTGTCGTACAGGGAACTGAGCGATTCGTCTGTGAATGTGACCTGTGAAGCATTAGGACTGTTTCCAAAACCTGTATTAAAGTTATACCTTGGATCGTCGAACGGAAGCCCTCCGCAAGCAGTTTCCGACGTCATAACTGTTTCCATATCCAAACCTTCAGGTGCCTATGACGCTTATTTGTACAGGACGTTCAGTGCCAGTGAACTTTCTAAAAACGGAGCCTCAGTCTTTGAGTGCTTGCTTGAACTTCCCGGCACCAATTACGCGAAAGCAAAAAAGAATCGCATATTACCCTGGTAAGTAAATCAAGAATGTCTTTAATGAGTGCTCTGCATGCACAGCTTTATGCTATAAAAAATTTTGGTACTCTATATGGTCTTTATAGTGTTTTTATGTTACAGTTTTATAGAAAACTCGATTCACTGCATATTTACTTATCTAAACATGTATAAGTTGTATGTGAATAAAACTATGATACATAAATCATGCGTTATATTGTTATGAAATGTCTAGCCGCTGTGAGATAGCTTCATTGCAAAGCAGGTTTGGGGTTTCTAGAAAATGGCAAGGGAAGGCAAGGTTGCCATATTTGGTGAGAAATCGGCATTTGGCGGCAAAATTGTCGATATGCCATAGAAGGATGGACAACCTTCTGGAACGATTTCTTACCGGTTTGGCGCAGAATGGTCTCAAACGCAAACCAATTAAACCCTGTTGGTATGCGGAGAGTGAATGCCTAGCCAAGTCAGTTAATAGTCAATGAGCGAGTGTCTCGTAGTCTAGTGCCGAGTTGTTCTCTTAGTCTATCATCGAGGGAGTCTCTTAGTGTATCGCGAGGTTAATGCATCGTGGAGTTTCAGCATAGAGTGCGTTGAGCTCCGAGACGACCGAACTGAGTCGGGAGCTGTACTATAGTGTATCTTCGAGTGCATCGCGAGTTGTAGCCTGAAGAGTCTCGAGAGTACGTAGAGTTCTGAGAACGACTATGCAGAGTCGGGAGCTGTAATCTGGTGCTTTATCCTGAAGGTGGAGAGTCTCTCACGTACGCAGAGTTCCGAGAACGACCAAGCAGAATCGGATGCTGTACTCTGGTGGTTTGCTGTAAAGTTTCTTTACCGTTATAGCCTGATAGACTGAAGGCTGTGTCGCTGATTATTTCAGAGTGTTTATAGTTGTTTTTCAACGATTGTAAAGTGATTTTTGAGCTGTCCTGAGTAATATACTGGCTAATAAATTGTGTTTCGATGCTTCAGCGCTGTCGAGCACTCTCAAACCACTCCCAAACACTCCCAAACTACGAACCCTCAACGTAAAGATAAACGTAACATGTTCTCCGTCCGTCTGTAGCATATCGCCGATTTTGTCGCCAAATGGGTGATATCTCACTAAATATGGCAACCCTGCCTTTCCTTGTCATTTCTTTGGCAACCCTAAACCTGCTTTGCGAGGAGGCTGCCTTATAGCGACTGGACATTTCCTAACAATATGAAACTCTTTTGCCTTTTAATTTATAATAAATACTTTTTTAATAAATCTTCATTTGTTACACATTGGCATGATTTCAAATAAAAAAATAAATGCATATGAAAGAGCTTCCACTGGTTTTTTTACTTCCTTGCATGAAGTAGAAAAGAAGTATTGCAGTCCCGAAAAATTTCGGTTATCATATTTCAAGGAAAATATCCATTTTGACTGCTATCGAATGCAATTTGACGATGATTTTGCATAGCATCTGCAGTTAAGGACGGAATACTTTCCACCCAAACGAATTATAAAACTGATTTAAAATGGATTCAGAAGATTTTAAAGTGGATGTCGTGGATGATACATACCTACGTATGTATCACGCATAACTCAAAAACGAGTAGCCTCAGAAAGCAGAAATTTTGTATACAGGATTGCTATAACATGCAGATGTGCACCTCCCATTCTGGTTGCAATCATTTAACCTACATGTTATGCTGCAGAATTATCAAAAATTTAAAAGTTGTTTAAGTGGGGCTAAGCCTAATTTTTATAGCATAGCAGCCATATTTGTTTACATTTGGAAATCAGCAGAATAGTGGCTTTGTTGCCAACCTAGAGAAACTAAGCTTTGCAACAACAAAGTAATGTCTTCTTTTTTTATTATTGCGAATTAAATTATGCTCAAGGCATTCTGGAATTACCATTTAAGTTTATTAAATTATCCCGTCTTATTTGCCGAGTGATAAGAAAAGTAAACATTCAGTTTTGTGCACCGAAAAATCTGCCTTCTTGCCCGCTGGTCGAATTACTTGTTTTTGCGTAGAAACTGTAAATTTAATTGTAAATCATTTTTTAAATTGGTTTAACTGTATTTGGTATTTTAAGTTTTTCTATATCTTTCAATTTTTAATATAGCTATTTTGAATTTTTATGTATTGTTACGAATTTGGTATTTAAAAAGCTAATGTTAGTTCAATTATAAATTAAATGGTTTTATTTCTCGCTAGTGCAGCGCGTGACGAATATTAAAAGAAAGCTAAGCCGGAAAAATTAAAAATACAAGAGCGCGTGCGTTAAATATATAAATATCTCTTTTTGATTTCGAGAAAGTGCTGGAAAATTCTAGCGCGTGATTTTAAAATCTTATAAAAGGAGGAAAACATCTCAGTTTGTAGTAATTGCTTAGTTTGTTGTTGTTCAGAAAAACTACTGTTGTTGATGTAGCGAATTCGCGGATTAGCGTTCTTTAGCTGTTTTGAATTACGTTCTATTGGACATTTGAGTAGTTAAAAGATAACTACTGTGAGATATTGTAATACTGCATGATAAATTGAGAAAATTTAAGCATTTTTGTTGTGATAATAATAAATTTTTGTTCATTTTTCATCGGACTTGTGCATTCATTTCATAACGAACCCGTACGCACGCAACAGTATACTCTTCTGCATTTCATTTTTTGTTAAAATCTATACATCTTTAACTATCATAGGTCAACAGCCAAAATTTATCAAAGAATCCTACTCCTTTCAAATACGCAATCAGAAATTAATCTGTACTGTTGCATTTAGAGCTAAAGTGCACATCTGTAAAGTTTCTACGAGCCAGTTTTATTACCTATTGGAATGGGCTGAATTTTTTTTTTTTTTTTAACTTATAAACTTCTCTTTTTATATGTTTTTACCTTACACTTATACCTCACATTTATGTACAATTACAATTATATAACACTTGTATGGTATTTTCTGCCTATTTAACATCTGCCTTATTGTAGTAATCAGAAGCACGTCCGTCTAATAGTCGGGATATCCGGAATTTGAATTCCGGGGTAGAAATTGTGAAATTGAACGATTACGACAGGTTAGCTCATTACTATGGCCATAGTACGTAATGTAAATAATTGTAAATAGTATCAGACCATGGTCCTTTTTGTTTATAAATGTGTATTTGATTGATTGTATTTAGTATTTGATTTTGATTTGTATTTGATTTGTATTTGTATTTGAGATTTGTTTGTTTTATTTGTTTGATTAATTTGTTTAAGTATTCTTTTTGTTTTTTTTGAATTTAGTATTTTAGCCTCGTTGATTTCACATTGAGTTACTCCTTCCAGATTTACTCCGGAGGATTTAATAGTGTTACGAATTGGTATTTAAAAAGCTAATGTTAGTTCAATTATAAATTAAATGGTTTTATTTCTCGCGCAGTGCAGCGCGTGACGAATATTAAAAGAAAGCTAAGCCGGAAAAATTAAAAATACAAGAGCGCGTGCGTTAAATAAATAAATATGTCTTTTTGATTTCGAGAAAGTACTGGAAAATTCTAGCGCGTGATTTTAAAATCTTATAAAAGGGGGAAAACATCTCAGTCTGTAGTAGTTGCTTAGTTTGTTGTTGTTTAGAAAACTGTTGTTGATTGTAGCGAATTCGCGGATTAGCGTTCTTTAGCTGTTTTGAATTACGTTCTATTGGACATTTGAGTAGTTAAAAGATAACTACTAAAGATAACTACTGTGAGATATTGTAATACTGCATGATAATTTGAGAAAATTTAAGCATTTTTTGTTGTGATAATAATAAATTTTTGTTCATTTTTTCATCGGACTTGTGCATTCATTTCATAACGAACCCGTACGCGCACGCAACAATTTTTGGTGTCAGAAGTGGGATTTGAATGCCAATAACAAGAGCGATGGAAGAACAATTAAGACAAAACAATTTATGCTGCTTTGCTACATTTAAAGAAGAAATGAAAGACTCTGTTAAAGAAGAAATTAGGTCCGTTAAAGAAGAAATGAAGATGGGCCAGGAATCCGTTAAAGGAGAAATGAAATTGGGCCAGGAATCCGTTAAGGAAGAGATGAAATCTCTTAAAAATGAGATGAAAGCAGGTCAGGACGAAATGAAAAGAGAAATTACCTGCGTAATAGAAAATAAATTTGAGGCTATGGAAGGCAGAATAGACGCGGTTGAAACTAAAGTTGGACAAATAGAAGAAAGAGTTTCTTCGGTAAAAGAACAAGTAGAAGAAAGAATTTCTTCTGTAAAAGAACATATAGAAGAGAGAGTTTCTGCCGTCGAACAACAAATTGATGATAGGGTTTCTGCTGCCGTCGCCAAAGAAGTTGACAGCCTAAAGAAGTGCATAGCGACGGTAGGAAACAATTCTGAAGGTTTCAAATTTTTATCGATGCCTGCTCGTTCCGTTCTGAAACTATCTACATATGATGGGAAGACCTCCTGGCAGGTGTATAGGACACAATTTTCTATCGTTGCGGATGCGAATGGATGGGATTCCCAAGCTAAGGCCTGTCATCTCGCCGCTTCTCTGAGAGCAGACGCAGCGGATATCCTGCAGACGCTTCCCGAAAATCAAAGGCTAGATTTCGAAGCTCTATCCGGCGCTTTGGAGCTGCGCTTCGGCGAGAAATGTTTAAAAGACTACAGCAGGCTCCAATTAAAATCTCGTCAACAGAAGCTCACCGAAACGCTTCAGGAGCTCGCCACGGATGTTGAAAGGCTGTCACATCACGCCTTTTCGGAGTGCCCGACAGAAACAAGGGAAATCCTGTCCCTGCAATATTTCATCGATGGCATCCGGGACCCTGAAATACAGAAAGCACTGCGAATGGCGGATGTTAAAGATCTGAAAAGCGCTTTAGTGTATGCCATGAAATTTGAGGCAGCCCAGCAAGCCACCCGTCGAGACCGCCATCCAGTCAGAGCTGCTCAAGTCCAGGAGCCAGGGGATCAAGTCACTGCTCGTCTAGACGATTTAACTAGACAACTGAACGCCTTGAGACAGAATATTGGTGACAAGAAACCGACCGTAA